AGGATCCCCCTGGGGAACAGTGAGTTGATTCCTTTTGACAATGAATGATATATTGTGACAGGTGGAACTGCTCGATCAAGTGCCTACTTTGGTGAGGGTACTGGTAGTATCCTCCTGGATGATGTTCAGTGCACAGGAACAGAAGAATTTTTGACAAACTGCACATACTCAAGTACTCACAACTGTGGACACTCTGAGGATGCTGGAGTAACTTGTGATGGTTAGTTTGTAGAATTCATTTGTGCTGTTAATAGATGTATTTATTGGTTCAGTTTGTACTTCTGGTTCTCTGCGTCTTGTTGGTGGATCAAACTCGAATGAGGGAAGAGTGGAACTGTGTCTAAATGGAAGGTGGGGTACAGTGTGCGATGACTTTTGGGACAACACTGATGCTGGAGTTGTATGTAGACAGCTTGGTCTAGGAACAAGTGAGTTAACTAATATGATGTGCTGTGAGTAGTTTCCCGTGATTAATTTTAGTCGGGACAGCTCGCAGCAGTGCATACTTTGGTCAGGGAAATGGATTAATATTATTGGATGATGTTGGTTGTGATGGCACTGAACAGTTTCTTGTAAACTGCTCACACACCTCAAATCACAACTGTGGACATTCGGAGGATGCTGGAGTGACTTGTTCAACTCCTCCAGGTGAGTATATGGTTAGGGTATCCCACAGGAATTCAGCATAGTGCTCATGTAGCTTCTTATTAGTGGGTTTTAAAGTAATGTAGCTCGAAATTTGACAAAATCATGTACAACATACTATAGAACATATTTATAAAAATTACTAGGAGAAAATTTTTCATTTTTAATGCACACTGAATTTTGTGTGATGTATTGAAATTTTGATATAAGTCGAAATTAGGTTTATTACAAACAGTTCAAGTTATTCAAAAATCGGGCCAAAATCATTTTTTGGCCAAATTTTTTGCCAAAAGTATCAAAAAGTATTGAAAAGTATAGGCTCCTATTCTTCCTAATGCTTGTACATGTGCTTATGTTGTGTAAAATGAACAAATTCCATGGATTTTTTTTATGAATTTTAAGTTTCTTCAAAAATTGAGCAGAAGATCCTGGCAAAAAATGATTTTGTCCATTTTCATAAATGTTGTGTAGAACTCTGACAGTTGAATTTATTACAAATTTTAAAATTTGTTTAAATATTGAGTCAAAATCCCACTACTATAGTACACTGTCTTCTGGCCAAATTTCATCAAAAGTATCAATAAGAAAAGGGTTCTATTTTATATTTTTCCTAATACATGTACACATGAACATGTGCTAAAAATTTTGAGCTCATTCCAAGCAAGATATGATTTATTACAAATTTTGAAATTCAGGCAGGGCCAAATTTCTCCAAAACTGACTTAGAAGATTTTTTCGTTTTTATAATTTTTCCTGATACATATGCTCATGTTGTGTAAAATTTTTGAGCAGAATCCAATCAAAACTGGACTTTTATTGATTTTTTAAATAAATTTTGAAATTTTCTCCAAAGGCATGTATTGTACATGTACAATGTACATTGTAGTGCTTGTCAGCTCATGAAGCATGCTCTTTAGCTCACTTAGGGTACTTTGTGAGAAACGCTGTGTATGATTTGTACATGTATATTGAAGATTCTTAATTTGTGGCACATAAATGTAGCTTGCTATGATGGATCCATTCGTCTTGTTGGTGGTACAAACAGCATGGAAGGACGTGTTGAGGTATGCAGTGGTGGAGCGTGGGGTACAGTCTGTGATGACTCCTGGGAT